CCCCCAAAACCCCAAAACCCCAAAACCCCTTCCTTAAGAAAAAAATTGAGTCTAAAGTAATAATATTTATAATCAATTTGAAATCAAACATGGAAGGTAGGATATGATAAGACCATTAAAGGCTTTATAAATAAGTCATTCCATTATATACTCGGGAAACAGATGAATGAAAGTGCCACTCTTCGCAAAATCAATCTAATAGCTCTTTGATCCCTTTGATCAGAGATTCAATTATTAATGTTTCCAAATTTCATACTGAACGCAAAACTTAACTATTTTAGACCATTATTCAAAATCTGATGATCAAGAAGATCCGGGTTTAAGGTAAAGTATCTTAATAACGTATTAGAACTTTATCTGAAAAGAGTGAAGATGATTGGGAAGCTTCAAAGGAAGGATTCCGAAAGAAATTCGATCTTACCAAAATCACCAATAGTGTAAAACCAAAACCTTATGAGCCAAATCTAGCTGAAGAGCCTCCTAAAATTTTAAACGAAGAAGTTGAAGAAGTTAAGCTTCAAGAGTCTTTTCCTCAAGTGGAAGACAAGCCAACACCTCCTCCAGCAGTACCAAAGATTTATGATATTAAAACCAACGAAGAAGAGATTAAAGAGCCATTGACCAAAAGAGAAATATCCTACGGTCATAAAGCTGTGAAGAAAGAAATACAACTTAACCCTGACGAAGAAGGAGATAATCAAGAAATCCAAAGAATGCAAATTATTGAACACCAAAGCCAAATAGAAGAACAGAATAGACAACAGACAATTCAAACTGAGCAAAAGAAAATTAAAGAAATAGAGAGTCCTCAAAGACAAGTTAAAAAGAAATTAGAAGAGGAAGAAAAATTAAAAGCAGAGCAAGCAGAACAACAAAGAGTACTTCAAAAACAGAAAGAACTAGAAGAACTCCAAAAGAAAGAAGAAGAAAGACTTGAACAAGAAAGGATAAAGCAAACTCAGCTTGATAAACAGAAGGAAGAAGAACACCAAAAGCAAATAGCTGAGCAGAAGAGATTGCAACAACAAAGAATTGAACAGGAGAAATTAGAAAAACAAAGACTAGAAGAAGAAAAACTCGATCAAGAAAGAATTCAAAAAGAGCAAGAAAGACAAAAGAGACTTGAAGATGAAAGATTGGAGAAAGAAAAGAAGATCCAAGAGGAAATAAAGAAACAACAGAAAGAAAAACTTAAAAATCAAAAATTAAAAGAAGAAAAGCAAAAGAAGGAGCATGAAAGACTTGAAAAAGAAAGAATAGAACAGGAAAGGATAAAACAAGAAGAAAATAAAGAAAAATTAGAACAAAGAAAAATTGAAGAACAACAGATGGAAGAGGAAAAATTAGAGCAACAAATGTTGCGGCAAAAGAGAGCTAAAGAGCAAAAGAAGGAGCAAATTAGATTAGAAAAAGAGCGTGAAGAAAAAGAAATACTTGAAAATCAAAAAGAGGAGGAAGATGAATCAAATAAAGACAAAATAAAATCTATAGTACAGCAAAAACTAATTGAAGAAAGACAAAGAAAAATGCAACAAAAATCTCAAAAGGATTCTTTAAACCCAGAAGAAGTTCAAAATCCTTCTGATATAAAACCCCCTCCTATCGAACCCCCTCAAGTTTCCTCTTCTCCTAATTCGCCTACACCTACTGCATCAACTCTACCACCTCAAATCTCTACAGAATCTTCCACTCAGATAACCTTAGAACCTTCTTCTTCACCCACCTTTTCTGAACCTTCAGAGCCAGTATCGACTGCTCCAGTGAATTTTAGTGGATCTTCTCCCTCTTTCTTCAGTCAACTGACAGACCTTGATTCCACAGCATCCCTAATAGCTATTCCTCTGTTGGCAGTGCTTTTAATAGCTATAGTTCTCTATGTGATATACAGATTGTGCTTTAAGAAGGATCCTAATAAGTACGCACATTTTGAGAATGAGAAGGAGTCCGACATCACAAGGTCTGGAAATAATTTCGCAAATTATCACGAAAGTAAATACCACCAAGGACAGAAGTTGAAGGAAGATGTACATCCTTATGAACCTGAGGAGTTTTATAAGAATGAGTTCTCTCAAGAGAATACAATGAATCATAGAACCTTGGATTTGAAACTAGATATAGATCCTCAGGTTGATCCTAGACAGATAGAGGAACAAATAAGGCCCAATATTAACGAACTTGATTATTCTTATAATGAATCAAATGAGGATGCAGAGAAACCTGAGATAAATGTTTCATTTATTTAAACTGGTATATTTGTAGCGGTTTAAATTGATTTTTACTAATGATGAATAATATTCAATAAATACAATGAAAATGGGGTTTTGGGGTTTTGGGGTTTTGGGGTTTTGGGG